ATGAGTGATGCCCAAGAGAAGGTACTGGAGGATGAGAGAACTCTTGTCGAATGGTTTCCATCTTCTCAATGAAATTAGTTAAGGTCAAGTGGTATTTTTAGAATTTCAGAAAGCTCTACTTTGAATAGGAATTGAATATCACTGCAGCTAGGTAAAATCTGCCTTATGCCTCTGATGTTTTCTGTTTATACACTATGGCTCAGAAGCATGGATTTAACTTTTTTTTTCTCTTTTATAGCCTGGGCATCAGTTTTTAGATTGCAATTTACCAAGGCAGGGAAAGTGTACTCTGAATAACTGCCATTTATGGATGATGGTTGTTAAATAAAAATTATAGCTTTTAAGGTAGAGATTTCTAGATGAATCTAAATACATATGTGACAATTAGAGTCTCTGAGGTGAAAGTCATTGATTTCTTCTCCTCCATATTACATATGTATATGTTTTTTTCAGTTTGATAAAAGAAAGCTAAATTATAAATAACAACCTTAAAAGTTTCCTCGGGATGCCAACACACACTCATTCCAGGGGAATGAAGAACAAAATGAGATGTCTGTAGTCCTTCCAAGTTCCAAATCCTATGAAAAGAATAGGAGCATGATTTTAAATATTTGATATATCACTACTAAAAAAAGAAAATTTCCATGAATTTACTCAATGCTATTAACTAAAGATTAAATGGTAGACATCTGTACTTAAAGTATGTATTTTAAAGAAAATTAGAACATAATTATTTTAGACAGTGTGAAAGAGGTATGAAGAACTTAATTTTTACCATATGTAATCATGGAAAAACTGTCACATACATTTTCTAATTAGTTTAACACAACAACACAATAACCAAATTCAATTATTCATATACTCCTTATTTTGTGGGCAGAATCTTAAACTTATCTGGTTGTATTCCTACATCAAAAGTCATTTCAATTAGCAGTAATTTCTACTAGGGGAGCAAACCCTCCCCCATCCACACACACCAGTGCTTCCATTTTCAAAATAACATATAAAGAAGCTAGTATGAGCTGATGTGAATTTAGGGAGACAGTGATATTCCATAGTTGCTTATTCCTTCTGCATTTGGGTTTCCAAGCCAGGGGCTACCTTCTATTTTATATTTTTTGATCTGGCTCACCTCCCTGATTCTCTTTCTCAAAGGTGGACTTGATTGATATAGCTATCAGATTCAAGGTGGTCTGAAGTAAAAGACACTTGACTCCTACTATCCCTCTCCTCAATACTTGCAAATCCATAGCAATAAGGATCAAGCTAATCACTGACATGACTTTCCATCTCAATTTCTTTACTATCCCAAATGGAGATCAAGACTCAGAAATCTTAGTAATTGAACTTTGTTGTGAGATGTGCTAACCACCACCCAAATTGCTAGTTTTCCAGTTCATTTTTCACACTCAGCCACTGTTGTATCTTACTGGTACAGAGGGTGGCACAGAGTAGGCATGGCAGGAGACAGAAATTTGGTGGGTGTTCGGCAAAGTGCGTACAGAATTCTGGTCCTTAAAAACTGAACCTATTCATTAGAATGCCTTGGACAATTTCTTCTGGGTTTTATAGTTCATACCTCATTATGGATCATAAAAAATTTCAACAAACTTAAACAATATATTTTTAAAGTCCAGGCAAAAATTTACTTCAAAGAAAGTAGATGTTTATTGAACAATGCTACTTATTCTGCATCAAACCACATTATTCCAAATGTTTTTTCTTCCTTGGAGAAATTATAGGGTCTCTAATATTGAAATATCATAGTAACACATAACTAACATAATGTTTTTCAAAATGATGACATATTTGATTAGATAATTTTGAAGCATACTCTTTTCTCTTGCCAAATCAATACTTTTCATCTGTATTTACTACACAAGGGAGAGAATTAGAATTTAATTGAAGAGGGGAATCACATTTACTAAGAATTTATGCAATTCTGTTTCACTCCCCATGATGAATAAGATTATTAATTATGGCAACTGAATATTTCTTTCCTCTCTATTGCCTTTTGCATAATAAAGTGCTGGGCTAACATATTTTTACCACAATTAAAATAGTAGGAATTTGTCTTGCTAATTCAGTGAGTCCCATGAGAGAACGGTTTGAAGGCTCTATTCTTTTGATCTTACTCTAATATGTATTTGGTTTTTGTTTGCTTTTCTATAAATCGAATAAATAGATAACAGAATATTTTTATAATTTTTTTCTCTTTCAAATGAAGGAAACCAAAAAGGTAGAAAATATGGATAATCTATAAAAACAGGTCGATTAATGAAGTGTATTCCTATCCAATGAAACAAATTTTTTTCTAATTTTTAAACAGCATTTTATCTGAAGAGAACCTGACACTTTAAAAATAAAAAACAACTTAAAAATAAGAAAGGTGATCCGGATTACTTTACAGGACTAGGATAAAATGATTTATGGTTTATAATTATATGCTTATTAAATAATTCTCAGTGGTTGCATAATCCAAGTACTAAGTATGCAAAATATAACAAATTAGGCTGAAATGAGTTATCATAACTAAATTAGCTACAGATGGTACACTTTAAGTTGTTAAATCTTATTCCTCTTTTTGATAGATTCCATAATTAAGCTCTTCTCAAATCCTTTTGTGGAGCAGAACACATTTTTCTGTGTCTTTACTACATGGCTCATCTAGTTAATATTAGTCCCATCAGATAAATCTCTTTTTTTTTTTCGTATACATTTTTTACAATACAGCATACATAATAAAAATATACAAATCTTAAGCATACAGATCAAAAAGAGCACAAAGAGAACAGCACCCAAATTAAGAGATTATTTCCAGAACTCCAAAAGTTGTCTTATGCTTCCTTCCAGTCATATTTCCTTGCCCTCTCATAAAAAGTATCCAGTATCCTGACTTCTAACACCAGAGCTTCTTTTTGCGCGTTTGAAGATAATATAAATGGCATCACATGGTATGTATTTTCTTGGTCTAGCATCTTTTAGTTATCATTATTTTGTGAGATTTACCAACATTGTTGCATGTTGTTGTACTCTCTGTTCATTCTCATTACTGTATGTAATATTCCATTAATTAAACTGCAATATACTTATCCATTCTACTGGTAGCAGACATTTAAGTTGTTTCCGTTATTACCAATGCCGCTATAAATCTTCTTGCACATGTGTTTTAGTGAATACAGACACCCACATGCCCAGTGCCCCACTATACACACACACACACACACCTGCTAGGTACAAACCTAGGTGTGGAGCTGTTGGATCATAGCTTACAAATATGTTCAACTTTAGCAGGTATTGTCAAATAGTTCACCAAATAGGCTGTACCTCATTTTTCTTTCATATTTCTTTTAAATTACTAACTGAAAAAGCCTAAACTTTCTCTAACACATTTTCTGATATCATGTATTGATGGATAAATTTGCATCGGTTTTAAAATGTAGTGAACACAACATATACAGTAAAAGCTCTCTTAACTGACCTCCTTTTGACGGACTCTTCCTTTTCCCTCTGTGGAACTGACAAGAAGAAGAAGGCCACTTCTTAATATTCTTACATGTGCATTGTTGTAGGCTTTCCAAGAGGGAAAATGGGTTCTTTGCTAGCAAACCACTGTTTGTAAGTGATATAAACCCATGCTTATTAATATAAATAATTCA